TTTTTTTTTTTTTTTTTATCAACAATTGAGGAAATTGATACGTGCATGGGCATATAGATAAGAATCATTTTCATTCTGGTCTTGCCTCTTTCTCCCTCTATTCTACAGAGGAATCACCCTGTGCATCCTTTTATCGGAATGCTCGCTCCCAACGTTTTTATCTCGCATTATCAGTCCGTCTCCTCATCACATAAATATCATGCTCACACCTTCGTGCTTACCTTAATGTGGGTTTAGTAAAGGGTCGGCCATCATCATGAACAACACTAATCGGACACCGCATATGTTCCTTTAAAGAACTCGCGATTATATAATCGGCGATTGGCAGGTGATCGAACGATATATTGTGCATCGCATCATATCAACAATCTCCTTCATCACGCAAAATATCATTAATCCCAAGCCAAGTTTGGTCGCATCAACAACGCTAATCTCTTTTTAATACATTATAAGTAGCATTAATCTATAATTTTACCGTTAATCTATAATTTTATTATTATTAATATTAATCTAATAATTTCTGACGCTCTTATCTTATTTTACGATAAAAACATTTATCGTCTTATACAATATATGTATAAATACGATATATGTATATATATATATATATATATATATACATATACATATCGAAAAAATTTTTTGGGGAAAAATACAGCCATTATATATTCAATAATATATTCAATCATTTTGATCCAATTCAGGGAAACTAATAATTTTCCTTAATTGTAAAAAAAGAAAAAAAAAATCATTTGCTAAGCATACTAATGCGTACTGCAACATGCATGTATGGAAAACAAATCTATGAATTGGCATTTTGTTTCACTTTTCATTCAAAATTAACATTTGTTTACAAGGAAAAAAGGATTTAATTGAGAAAAAGTTCAATCGCTCACATATAATCATTAATCATGTCGTTGCTATTTATTTTTCATTATTTTCATTAAAATAAAAACGGCAGACGATTATAGCAAATAAATTGAATTGTTGAATAAGAAATGGAATTTAATTGAATTGATATTGAATAAAAATTTTAAAATTGAGTAATTCCATAATGTAATAAAATATAATAATCTAAAAGAAATAACAAGTATTCCACAAATAAGAAATATAAGGAAATGGTAGTGATAATGATACAATAACTATCGATTTTGGTACTACATCATCTTTATGTATATCATTTTTATTGTAATTTTAAATAACGTGAAACGCTTAACGGTAATTAAGATCAACAGAATAATTATAAATATCGCAGCAATATTAACAATAATTACATAATAATTACATAAAGGTTATGATTATCATAATTAGATAAATATTATAATTACACAATAAATATCAAAAATCTCTTTAATAAATAAATTTTTATAGAAGATAACGGCCAAAGTTGGTTTTATTTACCGTTTCGCAAAAAATTCATACGATTAACACATAAAATAATGTTAATAGATATATAATATCTTGTTTCAGTTTTGTCAATTTACTTGTTAATATGCGTTTAATTCACTAATTAGTTTTTAATATCTATCTGTTCAGAGTTACGATATATATTTATTATACATTTAAATGTTTTTTCCTTTTTTTCAGGTATGATTATGTTTACTTATCACGAACCTATGTTTTCGCTAGCATGAGTTTTAGCGAAAGTTTCTCCACGTTGTACATTACTGTATCATACATTATACGCATTATATTACCATCAGTACCATCACGTTATTCCATCATTGTGCGTTTTAATTTATTTGCTTGTTGGAACCTATTTTATATTACGTGACTTCATACTGTTATCGTTTATGCTTCAAACTGCATATGAAAAAAGACCGATACGTAAGATATGCAGTTCTTGCAGATAAATTAAAGCTACCATTTAATATAATGTATTTTACCTGTACGTTAAAAGGTGTGCCTGTGTTTGCATGCGTGAGATATGTCGTAAGCTTACCTACGTTTCTCTTAATCTTTTAATTAATACGACGAGCTATCGTCATTGGTGAGATGACGATCATTTTTATGATTTACCTTAGTGTTCTTTTTAGCGTACATTAGATATAAAGAAATGGCGAATTGCATGAATATAGATCGAAATGAATCGTTTCCATTTGACTTCATTTTAGCAAGCGGTAGAAGAAAAATATAAGCTCTGTGACGAAAGCTTGACTAAGCTTTTACAATGGATCTCCGAAGTTGAGGACAAGCTGGCGAATCAAGATACCGTGAAGGAAGATATAGAAGAGTTGAGAAAGCAGATAATTAACATGAAAGTAAGTACAGTAGAATTCATAACGATCGAACATCTATAAATGCTTGTTTAAAGATTTAGATATTTCATTGTGGAATGTAATGTTATTTGCAGGATATTAAAGAAGATCTTGAGTCGCACAATCGGCCCGTATCATCGTGTCTAGATCAGATTCGACAAGTCGTCTTGACTGGCAGCAACGTGTTGTCAAGCGATGAAGTGTCCACATTGGAGAAGAACGGTCGGTCTCTCAAAACTCGATTTGACAAAGCGTTAGATCGCACTGATAAATTAGTGAAACGTCTCACTGGTGCCAGAGACGAATTGACAAAATTCAAGTTTGTATTGCTCTAATATAATTACCGATTATTCGAGTATTTTTTGAATTTAATTGATTTTTTCTTTCACAGGAACGAACTGACGACATTTTCAATTTGGTTGGACAAAACCAGATGTATTTTGGAGGATAAGGAACGTTCCCTGTCCGATCTGAACAAACTAAGCAGTAGTACGGATACGACTCGCGATTTCATTAGTGATGTCATTGCTCATCAAGCAGATCTGAGATTCATCACAATGGCGGCACAAAAATTTGTTGACGAGAGTAAAGAATATCTTCAAGTTCTCAACGATTTCAGGACTAGCTTGCCACAAAGATTGCCACACAAGGAGCCCACAGCTAGCCAAGATTCGCCAGTACGAGCCGAAGTATCCAGCGCGACAGCTCAGTACAAAGATTTATTATCCCGAGCAAATCTTCTGTCAGATAGATTATCGGGCGTAGGCGGCAAACAGAGAGATTATCACGATTCTCTGGATAAGGCTAGAACGTGGTTACGGGAAGTTGAACCGAAAGTACATAGAATTATCTCCGAGCCTGTCGCCGCCGAACCAAAACAAGTAGAGGACCAATTGAGCAAAACGAAGGCGTTGAACAACGAATTCCTCGCTAATGAGCGTTTGGTCGATAATGCTAAGCACAGTGTTGAGGCTCTGCTGAATTCTTTGGAAGGCCAATTGACGATCAAGGAGGCTAACGACCTCGAAGAACCGGTGAAAGCGTTAGAGGATAAGTACAAACAGCTCAGTAATGCTTTGGCTGAGAAATGTCAAGAGCTTGACACGGCGCTAGTGAGAAGTCAAGGAGTGCAAGATGCATTAGATAGTCTAGTTGCGTGGCTGAACAACATTGAAAGTCAATTTAAGTACGTATAAATACAATTATCATTTCTGAAATGTATCAATCAATAATAATTTAATTTATCCTTATATTTTCACGCAAATTGTATTGCACAGGTCGCTTCAACGTCCGGCAAGTTTGCAAAAGGAACGCTTAGAAGAACAGCAAAGGGAGCAACGATTACTTCAGGCGGACTTAGATAGCCACCGCTTGAGTGTAGAAACTATCACGAGAAACGCTCAGGATCTTCTTTTGAATTCCAGCAACGTTCGCATTGCCAAACGTATCGAGAGCAAGTTAAAAGATGTACAAAGCAGATTTGAGAAACTAATGGACAAGTCTTTGAGACGCGGTGAATTTCTAGATGAAATAGCGCAAGCTCTGAACGAATTTCTCGCGGATGTATCCAAGTTTGAGAGTTGGTACGCGCACATGATGGAAGTTCTCGACTCGAGAGATCTGGGCAAGCTCGATATGTCGGAGTATGAGGCCAAGATGGTTCGATTGATAGATATGCGGGAAGATCAGCGCGGAAATTTTGAAGATCTCATACGTAACGGAAAGAATTTGATCTCCAAGAAGGATATAACTGAGGCCGGAGCGATTAGAGACAAGATCAAGGCGCTCGAATCTCAATGGAAAGAATTGAACAATCTGCTCGACGAAAAACAACGATTGTGCAAATCGCGGGCGGAGCAACATACGGCATATGAGAAACTGCGGGATCAGGTACTCGAATGGCTTATCCGTACGGAGAACAAAGTGCAAGGACTTGAACCGGTTGCCGTTGATTTAGACAAATTAAAGATGCAACAGGAGGAGTTGAAACCCATTCAAAAAGAATATCGTGACTACGGCAACACTGTCGATAAAATCAATGATCTCGGCATTGCTTATGACAGTTTGATGAAAGAACGCGGCGAAAGTCCGACGCGTCGACGTGGCAGTACTAGCCCGACAAAGAGACCAGGTATTATCATTTGTATTTGCTAAGATTACTATATTTGTTTGATTGCATAGATACTTTTCGATCATGACCATTATCATGCCTGTAAATATCGGTATATTGGACCCTTTGCGAGCCAATTGATACCGTCAATTCGTGCAATTTTTATCAGTTATAGCAATTCTAGCTTATATATCTTTCACGTTGCATCTTTTTCAGCACACAAGCATTGCCATTTCCGTTACGTTTGATCGTTTTTTTCTGTCATTTTTTTTGTAGTACTGCGAATGTCGCAAGACGGTCGCTCGCCGTCACCTACTAAATCCTACGCAGTTCAAAGTCCGGTCTCTCCAGGTGGTAGCAGCGGATTCAGCAGTCGCCGTTCGAGTCAAGATGGTTTCCATTTGGAAGAATTATCGCCGGTTCAACAGCAACTTTCAGAAATTAATCACAGATACGGATTACTTGGCGTCAGACTGTCAGATCGCCAAACAGAATTGGATAATATTAAGGAAGAATTGAAGAAACATTTGGACCATTTGAAAGTACTCTCCCAATTCTTGGACAAGGTAATTATATCTATTTTTAAATGATGTTATATTTTTTATCATAGTCTGCACGCAGTAACATTTAAAAATATTTTTAACAGATTCAGCGACAGTTGCCTAAAGAAAGCATGCCTGCCACTAAAGATGATGCGGACAAAACAATTAAGCAGATAAAGATTCTTGTCGAAGAAATGTATGAGAAACAGTCTCTATTAGACAGTACTCGAACGCAAGTGCGTGATTTAGTCAGACGCAAAAAAGGAGCAGAGGGTGTAGATACATTGAACGACGAGATGGAAGATGTTGTTAGTCGATGGAGATCGATCTCGGACAAATGCAAGGATAGAATTAAATTCTTGGAAGACATTAAAGACTTTTACGACACGTATGAGAGTCTTGACTCCTGGCTCGGCGCTAAAGAACGTATGTTGAGCGCTTTAGGACCCATTTCGGCCGATCCTCGTATGGCCGCGAGCCAAATGCAGCAGGTGCAAGTCTTGCGAGAAGAATTCAGAACTCAACAGCCGCAATCGGATCATCTCGTACAAGTCGGAGAAAGCATTCTCATTACGATATCCATAGATTCTCCGGACGGACAGAAGATAAATGCGCGATTACAGAGCATTCGGCAAAGATGGGCGGATCAAATGAGAAGATTAGACGAAAGAGCTCAGAGTTTAGGAGACGCCGCTGATACAGGTCGCGAATTTGACGCCAGTCTTAACCGACTACGGAATGCTCTGCAAGGAATTTCAGACAACTTAGACGAATTGACTCTCGAAAAGGACCCTGAAGAACAGCTTCGTAAAATCGAAAATCTAGAGAGACAATTGGAAGGTCAAAGACCGTTATTAGCGGATGTGGAAATGGCCGGTGCGCAATTGTGCGAAGTTTTGAGTGATCCAGCATCGAAATCCGAGATTCAAGGAAAACTCGCCACAGTTGGCAAGATGTACAACAACTTACAGAAGAAGTTAGATCACAGGAAAGCTGAAATCGAAGGTAATCTTCGAGATGGAAGACAATTCGAGGCTTCCTGCAGCAGAACTCTCGGATGGCTCGCGGACGAACTTGGCAACATGTCTGAAAAATTACTGGTATCTGCCGACAGAGAGATTCTGCAGCAACAACTTGATCATCACGAAGTATGTATAAATATTTATGAAATATTTTGTATTTTTTTCTCAATTTATGTACAGTTCATATTTTTTACTCCATTTTTTTGTTATAAAACAAAATTAAAATATTACTTTTTTAGCCTGTGTATCGAAATGTGATGGGCAAAGAACATGAAGTCATAATGTTGCTGAACAAAGGACGCGATATACTTGCAAGATCGCAGAAAGCTGAAAATCGTTCTCTCCAGCGCGATTTGGATAAGATGCAGTCGCAGTGGGATCGTTTGAAGAAGGATACCGTCGAAAGACACACCAGATTGCAGACTTGCGCAGAGCATTGCAAGAAATATTACAAAGCCCAAGATGTGTTTCTTCCATGGCTTCGACAGGCCGAAGACAAATTGGACAGTTTAATTCCCACTTCCTTCAGGCGCAAGGACATCGAAAAGCAGCTGAAAGAATTATCATCGTTCAGAAACGAAGTATGGAAACACTCAGGAGAATTCGAGAATAACAAAATGCTTGGCGAGACATTTGTCAGTGCTTGCGATATTGATAAACAAAATGTGAAGAACGAACTTAGTGCTATGAAAACCAGATGGGATAAATTAAATAATGGTACATATGGTTCATTATTTTATATCGTAATTTATTATGATTTAGAATATATTTTAGTATATATTATAATTTAATAATTTTGTTGTGTAGATTTACTATCTAGGACACAGTCTTTGGAAGATACCGCACGTCACTTAATGGACTTTAATGAAAATTTGCGCGATTTGCAGCATAGTTTACAACGTTGTGAAGATAAATTAGCTTCGCATGATGCTCTTGGTGGAGCGGCTAAGGATCCGAAACTTCTCGATAGAATAAAGGTAATGCGAGAGTTTGTTGAATACAATAACTCTCTTATGAGAACATCTCATAAAACCAAAAAAAAAAGAAAAAAAAAGATATGTGCAGTCAATGCAAAATATATATATTAATTATATATTTTTTTTAGAATTTACGAGAGGAGACAACGAACTTGAAGAAACCTTTGCAATGCGTGAGACAACAGGCCAACGATCTCGTGAATAAAGCCGGCGAACAAGGCGTTGATGCGACACATTTACAAGACGAAATTGATAATGTTACCGATCGTATCAATGACTTGCAAGCAAAATTGGATGACAGATGCAACGAATTGCAAAGCGCAGCGACGGCGGTCGCACAATTCAATGATCAAGCGAAATCAATCAGTCAATATCTGTCCGCTCTCGAGAAAGATTTAGATTCCATGAAAGCACCCGGTAGGGAAATTAAGATTGTACGAGGCCAATTGGAAGATACTGCCAAAATCATCAGCAAAATTAATAAACTGTACGACGAAATCGGCGATCTGCAGAATCGTGGCGAACGGTTGGTCGATTACGGTTTCGCTGCCGACGCTGTAGCAACTAGAGATCAGGTCGACGGATTTAAACGACAAATTGGCAAGCTGGATGAGCGTGCGCGTACCAGAGAAGATGAACTCACTTCCACTTTGAACAAATTACAAGAATTTTATCAATTGCACGCCGATGTTATAGAAGGTATCAGTGATGCGAACGAACAAGTCAAAAAGTTCAAGCCTGTTGGATCCGAAGTGGACTCGATTAAAGCTCAGCAGGAGGACTTCCGGGCTCTTAAAGCCAAGAAGATCGAGCCACTGGCGCATGCTGTTGAAGAATGTAACGCGCTCGGTCAAAGTCTAATACAAACTGCAGGACGAGATGTCAATACCAGCAATATCGAGAAGGATGTCGACAAGATGAATGAAAGATGGAATGATTTGAAAGACAGGGTAAGCATTCAATTTGTATTTAGATATGTATCAATATTTATGCAAGAATTAATCGAAATAGATATTGTTTTATTGTTTAATTTATATAAATACCATTTTTTTAGCTGAACGAGCGGGATCGCAAATTGGATGTTGGATTACTGCAATCAGGCAAATTCCAAGAAGCTTTGGATGGTCTAGAAAAATGGTTAACCGATACGGAAGAAATGGTTTCGAATCAAAAACCACCATCCTCAGATTACAAGGTCGTGAAAGCGCAGCTGCAGGAACAGAAATTCCTACGAAAGATGTTGCTGGATCGTCAAAATTCTATGTCATCTTTGTACAACATGGGACGAGAGGTAGCCGCCGATGCTGACTCGAAGGAGCGTAAAGCCATTGAGAAACAATTGAACAATCTAATAGGTAGATTCGATAATTTGACGGAAAGCGCTGCGGAGAGAATGGATGCTCTTGAGCAAGCTATGGCAGTCGCAAAACGGTTCCAAGATAAATTGATACCGCTTGCCATTTGGTTAGATAAGACGGAAAAGAAAGTGAAGGATATGGAATTGGTTCCTACTGATGAGGAAAAAATACAGCAACGTATCAACGAACATGACATACTTCACGAGGACATTATATCCAAGACACCTGATTTCAGCGAACTCACGGAGATAGCAAGTCAATTAATGTCGCTCGTGGGCGAAGACGAAGCTACTACATTGGCCGATAAACTTCAGGACGCGGCAGATAGATATGCCGCTCTGGTCGAACGATCCGAGGCTCTCGGCAGTTTGCTGCAACGTTCGAGACAGGGTTTGCGCCATCTGGTTCTTACCTACCAAGATCTACAAGGGTGGATGGAGAACATGGAGATCCGATTGTCAAAATATCGCATTTTGGCTGTACACACAGAGAAACTCTTGCAACAAATGGAAGATCTCGCGGATCTCACAGAAGAGGTTTCGACGCGGCAAACGGAGGTTGATAGCACCGTGGATTCCGGTCTGGAATTGATGAAACATATCTCGAGCGACGAGGCGCTTCAACTGAAGGACAAGTTGGACTCTTTGCAACGACGATTTAACGATCTCGTTACGCGTGGCTCAGATCTATTGAAACATGCCCAAGAGTCCTTACCGCTGGTGCAACAATTCCACGATAATCACAATCGATTGATGGATTGGATGCAGGGCGCGGAATCCGCTCTGCAGTCGGCTGAACCTCGCGAGGAGGAGATTATTCGACTCGAGATGGAAATATCAGAGTACAGACCCGTTTTGGACAAGATCAATGCAGTGGGTCCCCAACTATGCCAAATGTCACCAGGAGAAGGTGCCGCAACTATCGAGGGTCTTGTAACCAGAGACAACAGACGATTTGACGCGATTGCTGAACAAATTCAAAGGAAAGCAGAGAGAATTCAGTTGAGCAAACAGCGGTCTTTGGAAGTAATTGGCGATATCGACGATTTGCTCGATTGGTTCAGAGAAGTAGATAATCAACTTCGAGAAGCCGAGCCGCCTAGCAGCGAGCCAGAGATTATTAGAGTACAACTGAAGGAACACAAAGCACTCAACGACGATATATCCAGTCAAAAGGGCAGAGTTCGAGATGTCATATCGATGGCGAAGAAGGTAATACGTGAGAATGCTCAACACGAAGATACATCTACAATCAGAGACAAGATGGAGGATTTACGAGAAACAATGGAGATTGTATCGAGTCTATCAACAGACAGATTGGGAGCTTTGGAACAAGCTTTACCGTTAGCCGAGCATCTTCGCGACACACATGCTGGTCTAGTCAGTTGGCTTGAAGAGGCTGAACAACAAGTCGCTATGTTACCCATGCCCGCTTTGCGGCCTGATTTGATAGTTGCGCAGCAGGACAAGAACGAGCTTCTCATGCAAAGCATCAACGAGCACAAACCCCTGGTGGAGAAACTTAACAAGACTGGCGAAGCTCTCATTAAATTGTGCAATGAAGAGGAGGGCATGAAGGTACAGGACATTCTGGAAAACGACAACGCCCGCTACGCGGCATTGAGAGCCGAACTGAGAGGTCGGCAACAGACGCTGGAACAGGCGCTACAGGAATCCTCGCAGTTTTCCGATAAACTAGAGGGTATGCTGCGCGCGCTGTCTTCCACCGCCGATCAAGTGAACGGTGCTGAACCTGTTAGCGCTCATCCGGCTCGTCTGCGCGATCAGATGGAGGAGAATGCGGCTTTGGCAGACGATCTCGCTCAGCGATCCGAAGCTTACGCAGCCGTCAAGAAAGCGGCCGACGATGTGATTAGCAAAGCCGGCAACAGGGCCGATCCAGCAGTGAAGGATATCAAACGTAAACTAGAGAAACTCAACAAATTATGGGCCGATGTACAGAAAGCTACGACCGATCGCGGTCATACTTTGGACGACACTCTGGCCATCGCCGAAAAGTTTTGGGCCGAGCTGAATGGGGTTATGGCCACCCTGAGAGAACTGCAAGATGCACTTGCTGGACAGGCACCACCGGCAGCTCAACCGGCCGCCATCGAACAACAGCAAGTGGCGTTGCAGGAAATCAGGCAAGAGATCGACCAGACCAAGCCGGACGTTGAGCAAGTCAGAGCATCGGGACACGAATTGATGGGCTTGTGCGGCGAGCCAGATAAACCTGAAGTACGAAAACACATTGAAGATTTAGATCAGGCTTGGGACAATGTCACCGCTCTGTATGCCAGACGTGAAGAGAATCTGATCGATGCCATGGAGAAGGCGATGGAGTTCCACGAGACGCTGCAGAATCTGTTAGAGTTCTTGAAAGAAGCCGAGGTTAGATTCGGAAACATGGGCCCGCTCGGCAGTGACATCGACGAGGTGAAGAAGCAAATTAAGCAGCTGGCTAACTTCAAGGCCGAAGTGGATCCGCATATGGTGAAAGTCGAGGCGTTGAACAGGTGACAATTAATTTTCAATTGAAGATTACATTTAGACATTAATAACGTTACAAAGAGTTCAGTGCACAGCATTGTCCCCTTTGTGCAACTCCCGTCCGAGAGTTATTTGCGATGAGACCTTTAAAAAAACGTTAATTCTAATCCCGACTTTTGTTTTTCTCTGCGCCGGTTCCCGAACATAGGAGTCTGACAAGGCAAGTCAATCTCTCTTTGTGTTGTCGCTGGTAGTTAGAGCATGGCTTCATGTTGTTCTCAACGTGTCTACTTCGTTCCGTTTAGTTTAATAATCTTGCAGCTCTTAACACAATTTATGTTACATATTTAATTGGATCCTTCCCTTATTTACCTTATTCCAAGGTAAATTCCTCAGCCGCATGTAGCAGGTGAATCGAGTGATCAACCACATGAGAATTCGTAGATGATAATACAATTTATATTTTTGACAGAAATAATGTGGAAGCGGCACTGATTAATGTTTAGTTGATATTAATTCCTCCGGTAGTTAAACTTATTGAAATTTTTATACCCGTCTTTCCTGTAGATAATGTGGTGTTCAATGTTGTGTGATTTGAGCGTATACAACAACATATATTATACATGTTGCTGTATATAATCAAGAAATATATTATATTGCGATACATTTTTTCTAACATTATCGTCTTTTTTAGACAAGCGGCCGAATTAACGGAAAGAACCTCTTCCGAACAAGCAGCAGCCATCAAGGAACCGCTTGGTGACGTGAACAAGCGGTGGGACGGACTATTGAGAGGTTTGGTGGAGAGGCAACGATTACTGGAGAACGCATTATTGCGACTCGGCCAATTCCAGCACGCTTTGGATGAGTTGTTGGTATGGATCGAAAAAACCGACACAACTTTAGATAATCTCAGGCCGGTAGCAGGCGACCCGCAAGTGATCGAGGTTGAGTTGGCCAAGTTGAAAGTTCTAGTAAATGACATACAGGCTCATCAGACCAGCGTTGACACTCTGAATGATGCTGGACGTCAATTAATCGAGGATGGCAAAGGTACTGCGGAAGCGTCCACTACGGCAGACAAGTTAGGCACGCTGAATCGCCGTTGGCGAGATCTATTGCAACGTGCCGCTGATCGCCAGCGAGAATTGGAGGATGCCTTACGAGAGGCGCAATCCTTTACCGCCGAGATACAGGATCTACTTTCGTGGCTGGGCGATGTTGATAGCATGATAGTAGCTTCCAAGCCCGTTGGTGGATTACCCGAGACGGCATCCGAACAACTGGAGCGTTTCATGGAAGTATACAACGAGTTGGAGCAAAACCGTCCGAAAGTCGAGACGGTGCTGCAACAGGGACAAGAGTACCTAAAGAAAGCGGATACGACCAGCGCCGGTGGATTGAACCACAATCTGCGAACGTTGAAACAGAAATGGGATAACGTGCTTGCGCGCGCCAGCGACAAGAAGATAAAATTGGAAATTGCCCTGAAGGAAGCTACTGAGTTCCACGACGCATTACAAGCTTTCGTCGATTGGTTGACCAACGCTGAAAAGATTTTGACAAACCTCAAACCCGTCTCGAGGGTCATGGAGACCATACTTCAACAAATCGAGGAACATAAAGCGTTCCAGAAGGATGTTGGCGTTCATCGTGAGACCATGTTGAATCTTGACAAAAAGGGCACTCATCTCAAATACTTTTCTCAAAAACAGGACGTGATTCTTATAAGGAACTTGCTTGTCAGCGTGCAACACAGATGGGAACGTGTGGTCTCCAAGTCGGCCGAAAGAACGAGGGCTTTGGATCATGGTTATAAGGAAGCTAGAGAGTTCCATGACAGCTGGTCAAACTTGATGTATTGGTTAGATGAAACCGAGAAGACATTGGACGAAGTCGCTGCTGACGGACTTGGCGGCAACGATCCGGATAAGATTAAATCGCGCCTCAACAGACACCGTGAGATACAAAAGGCGCTGAGTGCTAAGCAAAATACATACGATACCACTATGAAGAACGGCAAAACGTTGAAGGATAAAGCACCGAAGACCGACGAGCCTGCTTTGAGGGAACTTTTGAACGAGTTGAAGAACAAGTGGATCACGGTCTGCGGTAAATGCGTGGATCGACAGAGGAAACTGGAAGAAGCTCTGCTATTCTCCGGACAGTTCAAGGACGCGATTCAAGCACTGCTGGAGTGGCTGAGCAAGACTGAGAAATACTTAGCCAGCACCGGACCGCTACACGGCGATCTGGACACGGTGACCAATTTAATGGAGCAGCATAAAGCTTTTGAGAGAGATCTGGAATCTCGTGCCTCGCAAATGGAGTCTGTTATTAAGACCGGTCGCGAGTTAGAATCTAAGGCCTCCATTGAGGATGCGTCGATGATCCGATCGCAGTTGTCCGAATTGAACAGTCTCTGGGACAGAGTGACCAGTCTCTCGTCGAAGAAGTCCTTGCAACTGGAAGAAGCCCTCAGGGAGGCTGAACGACTTCATAAAGCCGTGCACGTGTTGTTAGAATGGTTGAGCGATGCAGAGATGAAGTTGCGATTCGCCGGACCACTGCCGGAGGATGAGCAAGAGAGCAGGAACCAGCTGATGGAACACCAGAGATTCCTCCGCGAGTTACAATCTAAAGAAATTGAGAAGGACCACACATTAGAATTGGCTCATATTATTCTCGGAAAGGCGCATCCCGATGGTGCCGCCGTTATCAAACACTGGATTACGATTATTCAATCTAGGTGGGAAGAAGTGGCGACATGGGCCTACCAAAGGAATCAAAGACTGGAGAACCATATGCAGGGATTGCAAGTTTGTATTATGTTATATAATATAAAATATATTGTAATATTTTATCTTGTGTAAGAAATATTGATATTGTTATACATGCATTCTTCAGGATCTTGATAATCTTCTCGAGGAGCTATTAGCTTGGCTCGAAGGTTTGGAGAACACTTTGAACGCCTTGGAGACGGAACCGTTGCCCGACGACAGGGCTACGCTTGAAATGCTTATCGCAGATCACAGAGAGTTTATGGAGAACACCAGTCGAAGGCAAAACGAGGTCGATCGCGTATGCAAGGCCCGACAAATTAAGTCGATTAAGGATGCGAGAAAAATATCGAAAGTTAGATCGCCTGCGCCTACGTACGTATTTATTGATATAAAAATTTATATATTAATGTTATAAAATTGCATATAACGAAAGTTTTCGTTTTTATAAAGTATACGCAGATATATTATAGAGATGCTAATAATATCATGCAAAGCATTGTATTCTGTTATGACTACTTTATGTTCAAAACGTTAAGTTTCGTTTGCATCCTAGTTATATATGTGTTACATTTGTGTCTTTCTGTATTTAATGAATATTTTAGTTTATTTCACACACGTGTCTTACTACACAATTGCAATATTAGCGAAAGTTCGAGATCGCCGTATTTGATAGAATTACCAGAATCTTTCACTTTGTTAGCAGCTTACAATCTTTTGTGTTGTCTTTCATGCATTGAATCTCTTTTGTGTTTTGTGTCTTTAACTGTCGCATGATATGTTGCTTTTGCAATGGAATTTCAGTAAGGATCTCTATCAGGATAGCGAGCATGAGCAGCCTCAACCACGTAAACAAAGGTGCGTTGTTTATTGTAACACAAATCTTTCTTACATAATTTAATCGCATAGCTTTTTTGTAAGTATAGCATGTTTAATACGCACATCTTTAGTTAATGTACAAGTTTCTTTTTGTGTAATCTCTTGATATTCAAGACAAGACACATTCTCACAATATAATATAATATATACATAATTACATTAATTACCATACAATAGTTTTTATTCGCACAATAATTTTGCAATAGCAAGAATTATTGATTTAGCAACGACATTAAATGTATTAATTCACTTGCTTTTCACTCGTAATTGTCCACAATGTACATAATGTTTGCAGTGTCTATGTTAAAATGTCTCATATTTTATTACTTACATATTTTATATTATATGTATGTTACATCATTATTTATACACATAGCTGAAGACATCAATTTACAATTGACAATTTTTTTTCCAACATAAAATGGAACTGATTTTCTAGTATTATTAGTATTATTATCTAGTATTATTTATCAAATATAGTTTGTTTGCCTAAAAGATTATTACATTTGATAAAAAAAATTCTCACTATATTTCACATAAAGTCTAATACTTACATAGAAAAACAATCTATAAACTAGACTACTGAGATGTCAAACAAGGTTTCTATAGATTCCTTATTTAGTAGAAAGTATTTGAGTGATGTGACGCATGTTCCTGTTTAGCCGAGGCAGCCCAGGTCGTGACAGAACACCAGATCTTTCATTGCCACACATCGGTCCACGCTTCCCGCCAAAAGGAAGGTTCGTTACGCCTAATTTTATTTCAGTTCATTCTGCATTCCCATTTTCACTTGGAATCATACAGGCATTAAGTGCGCTTTGATGTATGTACGATTCGACCTATCATACAACTCGCTAATGATCCGGTAATGGGATTCTTGTTTTCTTGCGGGATGAAATGTGGCTGGGTTTGATGAACTGTTACTCATTTTTGCTCGCAAAATCATCTGTTTTGAAAGTGTGAAGTTTTGGGTTTTCTAAAATGAGACATTTATATATACTCTTGAACTTTTTATTCAGTTTTTCTTTATTCTCGCGAATATATCATTGTCATATTTCCTTTAATTCTTACTGTGAAGTGATATCAATGGCCAAAAAAGATGACATTCATCAATTTTTACCTTAGACATATTTTTATATATTTTTTCATGATGTATATTTTCTTCTTTATGAGCAGCAAAGGAGCCGAACCGGAATTCCGTAGTCCACGAGTTAAGCTGCTCTGGGATAAGTGGCGTCATGTTTGGATGCTGGCGTGGGAACGACAACGTCGTTTGCAAGACAAGTACAATTATATACAGGAGTTGGATCGTGTTGCTAACTTTAGCTGGGAAGATTGGCGCAAACGGGTAAGGCTCGTAGCACAAATTTGTCGGGAATCTTTTTTTTGGGAAGATAAAATCCGTATAAAAGTGTATAATATTTATTATTTAATTGCAGTTCCTGAAATTTATGAATCACAAGAAATCCAGACTGACTGATTTATTCAGGAAGATGGACAAAAACAACGATGGACTTATTCCGAGAGAGGACTTCATTCAAGGAATTATGAACACGAGTACATGTCATTTTCCCCCGAACAAAAGCAGATCTGCTGTACGCGTTTTCTAATATCTTAATTCTTTTATTTGTAGAATTCGAGACCTCTCGTCTCGAGATGGGTGCCGTTGCTGATCTCTTCGATCGTCATGGCGAGGGCTTGATAGATTGGAAAGAGTTCATCGCCGCTCTGCGACCCGACTGGGAGGAACGACGAACCTATAACGACACAGACAAGATACACGACGAAGTTAAGCGACTAGTTATGCTGTGCACATGTCGCCAGAAGTTCCGCGTTTTCCAAGTTGGCGAAGGGAAATATAGGGTACGTATATGCGGTGGCTGTAATCTAATAGAAAGTTTGTGGCGAATAACTTTAATAACAATGAATTAATTAATATTGACAATAGTATATATTACTATATATTTTAATCACGCGATAACTTTGGAATTGTAGTTTGGTGACAGCCAGAAGCTACGATTGGTTCGAATCCTACGTTCCACTGTCATGGTACGTGTCGGTGGAGGCTGGGTAGCACTAGATGAATTTCTTTTGAAGAACGATCCCTGCCGCGGTAAGTACTCGCCGCGAATCTTTAATCTGCGAAATATTTATAGACGATCCGAGATTAGGCTGAGATAAATCGTGTATTTTTCTCTCTATTCACAATTTTTTCTTTAATATCAAGAGAAAGTGGTTGATCGAATGGACCAATAATTGAACGAACAGTTCAGTTTTGCTAAATGCGAAACAAGACATGTTTGCAAGATGAATTACTCTTTACAAAAGCAATTGAAATAACTTTCAAAAAAAATATCAGTACACTATCTCCTTTTCTCTCTCTCTCCTTCCCTAAGAGGCAATTAAACTTACGTTCCTGTTTAGTTTTCTAATTATCGAAAATGACATACTCTTAAATATTCGTTATTGTTAATAACATCATTAATAAAATCATGCGTTAACATTTTTGTTTCTGTTGTTTTTACTTTATATTAATAGATATTAATTTGCTTTGCTGCATTAAGTATAAGAATGTAATGCCATTTGTGAGAATATCATTGTCATTAACGAAAGCATAATGAACATCGATTCGATATAACTATATGTATGTCTTTATCCTAATACTAAAAAGATATTTATTAGTATATATATACGATTTCGACTCCTGAGGTGTTATAACCTTGTTATTAATTACAGACATTAAACGCAACTCAATGTAAATCTAATATTTAATATTTAATAGTAGGCATATCTAACATTTAATGGACAATTGAGGGTAGTGTACACACATCCGCTGTTTATTGCTTTTGCTTATCTAGTAACCATCTTTTAACCACATGTATTGATTTAATTCGTTAGCTTTTGATTGTTAAGTAAGGGTATTAATTCAGAATTGTTTATATCATCCACATAATTTTTCTCACATCGTATTTTATGTTCGCGCTACTTGCAGTAATTGCATGATGACGATTAATTTGATCGTATATCATTAATTAATGCGTGAAAAAAATGTTCGTTTGCTCTACTTCCTACCATATTTTTTTTATTCTCTCTCTTTCACTCCATTGTATCGATAATTAATACTCTCAATTCTGGTATATCAAGATAAACACTAATTCTCCATCAGAGAACTTCTTCTGGTATAGTAGATATTGTTTCATGGATAGAATATAGGTAGAAGGTAATATATTACAGTAGGCATATATAATCTAACATCTTGTTGACTATATACTAACGCTAACACAACTACTATCCCTTATACTATCCATCGTTCCGTTCCTTCTTACATTCTGTTTAACTCTATGACAAATATTTCCGTTTATTTTTTTTCTGCGCGTCTCTTGTTTCACGAATTTGTTTATCGAATGCCTTTTTCACGAATTATAAAAATCTTGGAAAACCGCGACGAATGATTTGCATGGCTGTACATCTCGCCGCTTTCTAATCGATTTTGTCTCTCGAATCGTGATTAACTCGTTAAGTTTTTCTAATGCCAATACCGGATCCTAACAAACCGGAACAACATGAGGGTTGGTGTCCGCTCGGTGAGAATTGTTTTACGTGCACATAACTCTCCTTCGTGGTCTATACGGCGAAAAATTCGCTTGTGATTATTAAAAAGTTTCATTTGAAACTCCAATCGTGGATATTTATGGAGATATGATGCTCTGCGAAAACTGCAGCTACTATTGTATATCACTTACAATTAGTATAGACCATGAAGGTGATATCCCTACGTGTATGACGCATGACGTTATTCGCTTGTCCGAACTAATTTTCCCAAATGTCATCTTTTTTTTGTTCGAGTATGTCTATATGCGTGCGTATGCGAATGTATCATGTGATTGAACGATTGAATATTGGCTACTTTTTCTAAGGTAAATATATAGATTGGCATAGAAGTGAGAAATATATAAGTTCTAGTTGAAAAGTATCGATGAAGTCGATGTTGCGAAAAATCTACGTTTAGTGATGCCGCAATTGTTTCGTTTTTCCTTCATCTCCGCGTATTCTATACTTTCGCAATTTCTTGATTTGGGTGGTTGGTTCCATCAATTAAATTTATTCGGTTTATTTTTCGTGCGAACACTCTATCCTTGCACAATCTTGTAATATACAGTGTGATTGTTTTATATATTTATTTGCAAAGATCATTCGTAGCTCCTCTGTAGAAATTTTCATGTCTTTGCTACGAGACAATCAATGCATGTTTACTGTTTTTTTAGTATTATTTTTCTTAATTAATATTAAAAAAGAAGGAAATTTTTTATACATGTAAATATACTTAAAACTTATCGATCTTTTCTTTTTTTTTATTTAATTTATCATTAAAATGTTACATCAACCAAGATACATTGGTTTCTTTTAGCATGGTTACAATGTGTAAATTAATTGCTCAGGTATGTATTATAAAATGTACGATAATAAGCGACGTGACTTATTATATTTATATTATAGAGAAAATTAGAAATTATTAAAATATTATATGTAATGATAATCTCTCTTCTCGTCGCGAATCGTACATTTTATAAAAATATCTTGAGCATTGAAATTAGTACTTTATTAATATTATATTACGAAGCTAAGTTTCAGAGTGGCAAAATATTTAGATAGTGACTTCTATATCGCAAATCTTTTCTCGTATAATGACTATATAGTAACGTAAAACTTGTCTTGAGTAACTATATTTATTAATAAGCTTGTATTCGCCCGAAGTTATTTCGATTTTACTATATATTAGAACTTTTTTTTTTGTTCATATATATTCTAAATACGCTGTTCTTTTCTTTTTTTCCATGACACTTTAAACATACATACAAACCTGAATTTACGCCACTCACACCTACACACTTACTCCAAACATGCACGCATATCGTAATACATTTTTTCGCCTTTTATTTTCTCTCGCCTCAAAACTGTACTTTCCTTGTCCATTATTGTCGCTGTTCATTGATAACATGCATGTCTTTGAAATTGTGAATATGTAAAAAAAATATCGTCACTCACACACACCTTCCGCTTCATACAATTCACAACTCTCGTTCCGGATGTTGTCGTTCCGATATTTATTCATTCTTTTTCTTATTTTATTTTTTTTTTCATCCTGTTATTTTAACACGACATCGTTCTCTCGCGTTCGTTATCTCACCTCGATGTCATCTCTTTCTCTTTCTCTTTCTTTCGTTTTTTGTGCAAATTTCAAATCTCTCTCTGGCACCTCTTCTCTCATATACCCTGCATCCCCCAACGCCACTTCCCTAACTGCGTGCACGCAACACACTGTAGCCAAGGGAAGAACGAATATTGAGCTGCGGGAGCAATTCATACTGGCGGACGGCGTTAGCCAGACCATGACGGCCTTCCGGTCCAAACCAAGTCCAACTTCGACGCTGCAGCGTACTCAAATGTCCTCCGCCAATGCTGGACCGATCACCAAGGTAAGGAAAGAGGGATCAGGTGCGGTTTGATATGCGACGAAGCACGCACGGTATTTATTTTCACCGAATTTTTTATTTCTCTGCCGTTAATTTATACAAACTGTTGAACACTTTCGAACTTTTTTTTTGAACCGGTTGAGAATCGGTAGATTAGAAGATTAGAAAGATTAAGTTGCACGTCCAACTTCTTCTGGACAACTCTCTATCAATGTCCACTAGTCGTCGTCCATCGACAATCTGCGTAAGTATGCGACTACTTTTCTACAATTTGTCGACCTTAGCCGTTTGATTTTCGCATGAGCATGGCAGTTTTCGGACAATTACGTTGTTTGAACACGTAGAGGCAGTTAGAAATAAATAACGCTTGTTTATTTTTATCATATCGGTCGATCTTGCGAAGACGGTTCGACTGTATCAATTAAAGACCCAGACAAATCCGTGATGTCTGCGTCTTGAACTTTTTCGTCCAACCTCAGGAGACACGATTTCGTAAATGTTTTGCCCATCTTCTCCGGAAATCCTTTCCCGACCTCATTGCTTTGTGAAAATGGCGAAAAGGACACATCCCAACTTCTATACCAATCATCCTCGCTTACGAAATTTTAAGGAAATTATGAAAATAATGATATTAATTTGTGAAACAAACATTTTCTACGATTTGTATTTCAAATCAAGGGAAAGCGAATTATGTATATCATTTTAGCGTAGAAATGGTACGCTGTACGTTTCAGGAATATTTTTCACTCTTATTGGAGTGAGAGCTTTAAAGAGCGATTGCATGTGGAATCTAAAGATTTTCGTTTGTGGTGTAGCGGAGGAGTTTATGAGCCAGCTGATGCCGATATTTGAGAATTTGAGGCAAAAGGAGGACCTCCCGTGCTCGTATCCCCTCCACATGCACGCCCCCTCTTATCATTGGGTAAATAACGAAATTTTTCTCAATTTTCTATTGCCGTTTCGTGTGATGTTGTTGTACATTGACACACTTGAGTTTGGGTTTTCACAGTACGGCCACTTTGACATAACTCGAGTCCATTGACGGTGTATTGCGCGTAGACTGTCATTGTGTCTGCTTCTCCTCTCTGCTCTATTCTTCTCTATATATCACGAAGATTGCGATAAATGAGCAATTGTCCAGAGATTATGAATAATATAATATGAACGATTATTTATAATCTATCACAAATGCTTCTTTAATTGCTATGTTGTTTATAATGTGATGAATGCATGTCGGAAGAATCGTATCACACTTAAGAATAACAAGCAATATGAAGGAAAATGGATAAAAGTGGGGGAGGGGGGTTTGAAAATAAAAATTTTAGTTTCCAATTTATTATCACACATATGTCATGTCATTTTATTTCTGCGTCGCGCTTATCGAGGGTGTCTACTCCATGGCACACCTTGAATTCTCAGGAATTTTCTTTGTATCTCGAAAAAAGTCAGAGAATTCTTATGGAATTTTGGGATTTGAAGAATTTTTTTTTAAATTCTCTGATAATTTTGCTCTCATATTGTAAGCAGTCGGCAAGACAAGTAAATTATGTGTTTAAGATATATTATAAATATATATTTGTCACGCGCGCGCGGTTATTTATTTATTAGTAAAAATGCCTAGAAGATCAGATAATTTTTTTACAAGAGATTTGAGTAGACACCCTGTCTATTCTTTATGAGGACTGCATGACGAGGATCTCTGGCGCGTCTGATAAATGTACTTTGATCTGGTACCGATTAAAGAGATTCGTAGCACACGTTGCGTCAAATTCTGTGGAATGCAATACCTTGTCGCATCATTCACCATTTGTATCACTTTGCATCGAATCGATTTTTCTTTAGTTGATCGTTGAATATGTCTGATTTTATTGACAGAATTATATTTGGACGCCTCTAATCCCCGCCCTTTTGCCCCCCGGTAGAGAATGATTGACTTGAATCTATCCTATTGTGAGCATGAAGAGATTTAGCTGATTTTCATTTCATGCGAATGTGTAATAATAAATCTTAAACAATAAGCTCGCGATACGCAATTTTTTGAAGATCAATTTCTTGATTCTCGTATGCATTTTTCAAAGTCTCGCTAATTACTGTTGATGACAATTACGAAATTTTTTTATCAGCAGCTAGAAATTTCGAAAATAAATTCGCATCGGGGATATGTAGTTAATTTATTAAACATTGAATTATGCATAATGTCGTGTCCTGTATTACTGCGTGCGTAGTGGCATTGATTGGAGATACCTCGAATCACCATAAGCTACTGTATCTCTCCCAACTTCTTCTGGTAAGTTTGCATGACAGTGTAGCTTTATTCAACTCTGGTAAAAATGGTAGTGATTTTATTTTATTCCTATATTATTCAATCGCTGTATTATCAATAATGATAGCGCTTTGACAAGCGTAAGGGACCGCAAATCGATATACTTTTACCAGTTGACCGCTGTGTACAAATTTATGTTGCCTGTTAAACTTTTGAACAAATTTATCGATCTATGTAGTAATTAAATTTTTTTTGCCTTCTTTTTTACTGATTGCATTTATTTACATATTTTCAATAAATTCGAGCAATAATTGAGGCCTAATATTATTTATATGTTGTAGTAGTTTTCTTTTTTCTTTCGTGGTAGACAATTTTGTTCGTAGTAAATGTTAGAGAAAACATCTTGTATTACCGTGAAGATATCAAGAGAATTTAATGGTAATTAATTCATACGAATGCAAATATTTTTTTACTATATTAAATATTATATATCTTATTTTATTTTTTTTTATATGATTAATTCACAAAAATTAATAATTTTGTATTTTTTTTCTTTCTTCAGTAGCTCTTTAACAAATTTTTATCAAGAGCATTTTATCGTATTACGTGCGACATAAACTTGCATTATAACGAATTTTTACAGTGTTGATAATTTAATAATTTTATTTATGGCGGCAGAGAACGCGTAATACAAAATTATCTGATGATTCCGTTGATTAAACACGAATCACGATGGCTTTTCTTGCTTCTCCCTGCTTATGTTTACATGTAAAATTTATCAATTTTTGTTTTTATCATCTAGGTGAGAGAACGCAGCGCTCGCAGCGTACCTATGGGTCAATCGCGAGCCTCGCGCTCATCCTTGAGCGCCGGCACGCCGGACAGCCTTAGTGACAACGAAAGTTCCTTCAAGATATCTGCTAGGAAAAGCAGTACGCCTTATAGATCCGCCGTGACGCCCGGTAAGTTATCTAAATAAGAATTTGGAAAAAATGTTTCTGATAAACATAACATCTATAATCATGCTGTGATGACCGCAGGTGGTAGCCGTCCATCTAGCAGGCCAGCCTCAAGACCTGCCTCCCGACCTGCTAGCAGACCGAGTAGCCGACCCGCGTCGAGACAAGGAAGCAAGCCACCCAGTCGATATGGTTCAACGCAGTCGTTGGATGGTACGAATAAAACTCACAAATAGCTTCTATTTTATATTATATATATATTATATATTTTGTTTTATGGCTTTTTTTCGCTCCATTTGAATAAATTTTTAAAATATTATGTTTGCGCAGATGATTCGTGCACTCCGAGTCGCATTCCGCGAAGGACCATCCTGGGTGGCAATACACCGACATCCAGTAGACATAACAGTATATCCGGTAGGAAACTTACGACCCCGGTGAACGGTTCGAGTTCGCGACCCCGTACCCCGACAGGATTGATTAGTCCCGCCAGCGGGGTGCCCTCCAGGTTTGTAGCCCGCAACATTTACTTTCCATCGAAATATATTTAAAACAGATCACGGACTAACTCGCATCAGTGTGTCCCTTAAATAGAAACATACATAACCGATTATTATAACATTTGCATTAACGAGCATCTAGTATTACCTCATCCTACATTAAACTGATTGCGATAGTTCGAGGAATATTCATAAATATGTTATTTTTTCTCCAAGTAATCGAGGATTTATTTATCGAATGAATTTTTCTTGTTTTTCTTTTTATTCTATTTATCTTGTTTTTTTTTTAAACCTTAATATTACGGTTCCACTGCATACATTTGATACGTACCACGTAAAATAACGCCAAAGTACTAACATCTGAAGGAACAAAACTCAGATTCGAGGGATTTGCGATGCGATGGCACTACATATTGATCGATCGAACTTCATTACATCCCGTGTTAACTATTTATACGACTAATCAATCGATTATAATATTTCAATAATCATTAACGGATTTGGTTAACAACGTTTTTTTAGGTTTGGCTCAATCCATAGAGCTTCGAGCATTCCAACCCTGACTGGTGTCGGAACACCTATCAGGTAAAGCAAATTAACGAATCGGCAATTTTGAGTAAAACTGGTCCGGGAAAGTGGATTCTTGCGGCTTTTGCTTTGCGCTTTGCATTCTGTTTTTATCATTCTATCTTTTGTTTCGCATTTATAAAAATTACAGCAATAAGCAAAATGCAAAGCGCAATATTAGAATGCTGCAAGGTATTTTATGGTGTAGGGTATCGCTCTTTATATAAAACACGTGGTGACGGTAATGCATTTAAACCTGTTCTGTTGTTTTATTTCAATCCTTGATCGTATTTTCTTTTCATTCTGTTTTTTTATTTCTGTTTCTTTGTTCGTTTAATTTTCGTGCGACGTAGAAAGAGATTCCTTTGGCATATACTTATATGCAATATGTATACAGTTCGTTCGCAATAAAATGATGTTTCGATTACTCGTTAATGCCTTAGCCGCTCTAGGATACCCGTGTATGTGGGGGTGGATATAAAATCTCCTCAGTCGACCACCAGCAATATGTCGACTCAAAGCAACCATTCTACAATTTCTACCGATTCCACTGGGTATGGCTGCTTTTCCGCTTTTACATGTGTAACCCGTTTTCTGTTTCTTCTGACACATTTTGGTTTCTTGTCCTTCTTACTTCTTACGAATGTTTTGTTCTCGTTTTTTGTTCTTTGAATTTCTCGCACGATTGATACCATTATTATTTGACATCTATTATGTCTATCTGCCATTAATATCCGCAGTTCGCTTATTAAATCGCATAGTTTTAGATCATTTCACAAGAATAGCTTGCTTCGTCTAATAATATTATGTCGAGAATGCAGTCAAAATTTATGAAGTATAGTCATTTCGATGTTACAGCTTTTATTTATTACGAGTTTTGTGTTGATGCTTGTATGATGATCGTGTTTGTTTATACTTGTCAACTAACAACGTTTTCTTTCACAATGCTAGGAGCAGCTCTGTGTGTACAAATTCAGCAACTAATATACCAACAGCCATTAAACAAGCTAGGTAAAAGTATTAATGTTCATTCACAAATTTTCCACTTGTCTTCTTTTTCGTTCGTCTATAAGATTTATCTAAAGAAAAGAGTATTTTGATACTGATTTGCATATTCGAGCGGCTCCAACGTTGAGAGGTAAAACCCACGCGGATGCGCGTGTGCAATCGCTTATGTATACCGTGATCATTTGTTTCAGGGTACGTACACCGTCCAGTGGATCCAGCACGCCGCTACCGCCGTCCTCGAAATTATCGAGGAAGCCCTCAGGAGCTTCCGACACATCCGTGTCGGGAACGACCCCGAGTACACGAAAGGGAAAACCCACGCCGATCGAACAACGCGCGCCGTTTCGATTATAAGCTTATTAACGAATACACATAGCTTATAAAAATCTGCGTATTATACATATATACATATATATATTGTATGCCTGAGCGCGAAAGTTATATAAATATAAAACATCCCCGTCGCAAATTTATAACGATGACCGCATGGTATTACAGGGAACACGAATAGTTATTGTGTACGATGAGAGAGGATAATGTGTGTGTAATATATAAATGCCAAATTTGACTTGATCAAAATTTCATAGGCAAATGACGATATCTAGAAATTACGATATGATCTTTGCATTTCGTTGAATTTTACCAAGTACCGAATGCCATTAAAATTATACGAATATATCAATGAGTATTTGATACTCTCTTAGGTGGTAAGGGGAATTACAGACAGTTTTGAGGAAATGTATTTATTTTGTGCCCGCGTTACATAGAGAAAGTGCTTAAAGCGTATATCTAGTTATAATAATCCATAACAGTGACATATAAATAATTGTTACAAATACCTAAAGCTTGGTATTACCAAAAGTGCAGGGTAATGCTCTATAACTGAAAATGTTTAGGCGAGATACAACAATATCTCTGCCGATTTTCTCGATAAGGACAATACTATACTGAAAAGATTTTAACGTAAAAAAAAAAAAAAAAAGAAATCAGCGATATATATGTATTATAATTACGCTTATTGTGTTTTTGAAGTATATTTAGTTGCCTGTAACTACTTTTATAATGTAGCATAGTTTGCTCATTTGTCGCACGCATACCTTTGCGTGTTTTATATGTCGTGTAAACCATCGAGAGTTTTTCTCGATAAGATTTTTGACTTCTGATATTGAGCAAATTGTACACTTGAAGATATTAATTTATTCAATATTTTTGCTTGACTTATATATTTGCGTGGGTTATACGACGTAATTAACGTCTAATGCGCATTTGTTAAAAAACAAAAATAAACTGTATTTGCGCGTTTTTTTAGCTTATGATACATAGATTATGATTCGACATTTATTTTTGTTATCCGTTTCGCAAATGGAATCGTAAATGTTGGTTCAGTGGTATATATTTTCGTTAAATAAGATTAAGCATAATTTTTTTGTTTTTTTTTTTTATATTATATATACGACAATAGAGAGAGAACCATTAATTTTTTAAGCTATGAATTTTGAATGATCATAAAATTTTGTTTGAGATTAATATATTGCTTTGAGAAATATTTTAACGTATTTATGTTCTTGCGAAACGGAATATCTCATGGTTTTGTAAAAAAAACTATGACAGTAATCAAATCTAATTTATGATTACGCATAAGTTTAATCCTTGAGCGATTGCATCTAAAAAGTGCGATTCTTTATAATAATTCGAAATTATTCTCTTAAATAAATTTTTTATTGTCAATTTTTATGCTTGTTTTTCGAGCATTGTAATACATAATTATAATCGAAATGATATAATATTACATTATAAAATATTGCTTAAATAATAAATTTTGATGGCGGATGTTAAATAATAAAGTTGAGTGATAAGTGTGTCACTTATGCATCCGCTCCAGGATTAACTTACGATCCGCTTTTGTTACATGTTTGCGAATCGATTTATTAATGATTAATAATGAAAAATAATTGTTATATAATTATAATTATATATAAGATATATAATTTAATTATATATAGTTATATAATTTAATTATACAATAATTATTAATGATTATAATATATCGATTAATGCGCGAGAGATCTAAGAGTTCGAAAGAACATACTTAACAGCGTTAAGATACTAAAAAAAGATAAAATTGTGTGAATATATAGCTAAGTAAAATATATTCCGTTGCGCGAAGTGGCCTGTTAGGTGACGGGTAAAAAAAAGAGAAACTCTGAAAAAAGACATTTCCATTTTTTTTTACATGTATATTTTTAGATGCGATTAATATAACGAGATATGACTCGCTCTGCCTCTTATAAATATTACGTAAATGCGATTAATCTTATTAACAACTTCTCAAGGTACGATTTTTGTTTCTTTTCCACATACCGAGAAGTGCTGTATCGACGCTAATAATAATGATAATAATAATAATGCAGTAACGTAAAGTAAAGAAAAATATAACAGGTACACGCACACACATGACATATTTCAATGAAGACTCTCGACCCGTTTCTTTTCTATTTCTCATTTCCTAAAAGCAAGTGTTGAACACCATGTAAAAATGTATATATGATATTTTAATGCGTGCGCGCATATTTTTTTCAAGTTTTATTTTCTAATTCAAGTCGCGGATGCTGTCGTCAGGATACGAATTCCGTCATTAATTACATGTCGATTCTTACATCGAGCATTGCTACTTTAGCTACATAGCAGAATTTTGCGAGAACTGATAAGGTTTTTCCAAACGAGGATAACGTGCCAATTTAATTCTTTTAATGTTAACTGGCAGATGCAATGTATAGTATATCAAGCAGAAACATTTCGGGAGGATCTGGTGGATGAGACGACAGCTTTGTGCATGCTTCGCTAATAAGGCTTACCAAGTATCTCCTTGCGGTGCTCCTGTGACTTGCAGACATATAATTTATAGGAAGCTACATCTCTATGTCTAAACGAATTTTGTGCAGTTTTTACAACACTCTGAATTTACATTTTTGACATGCGTAAAAACACTCCTCTATTGTAATGCTAACCGTTGTAATCGGTGGTATATGTTTTTACTGAATGCTGGGACGAGACACGAAATGTTGGTGGTACGTGTAAGAGAGAAATCACTGTCAAAAAATGTGTAAAGTATCAAAATAGTGTTTATCACATACAGTTTTACATTGTCTGTGTGTTCCCCCACATTCTTCCTTTCTCCTTTTTTAATCGGCCTTAGATTTGGAGTTTTTGGTAATAGGTATGATATAGCAATCGGCGATAAACATTTCCATAGGTTTTGGAATTTTTTGATAATACACAAAATAGATGTCTAGAGATGTAAGTAATATATTTTAAGTTTAAAAAAGTATAACGATATAATAGTTAAAAAAAAAAGATAGACCGCGCTTGCATAGTCGTTTTATTATTAATGGCTCAGAGATCTTGCCATTCTTCATTAGATTTAGCTTTGGTGAACATTTTAATTCTTCATATCTATGAAGAAACGTAACATTTCCATATATGATGGAGTCACCGCATCCACATCAGCGATCGAACCATGAACATAAGAAATAACTGGATCGGCTGTAATCCATGCGGTGTGTACTAAGCCAACAGGGGAAATATTAGATAATATATTAATACGGAAAAAAACGGGTGAGAAACTTATAATATTGTAATAATAAATTCAAAATATTTTGTGGATTATAGTCTAGCGTAAATATATATATGAACTAGTATGAAGTGTGTAAAAACAATAAAGGGAGATTTATAATAAATAAAATGTTTTTGGAATATTACAATACATGGAATTTTTATTATTTATATCCCAGACAGCACAAAACGTCCTCAGGATCATCCTGAATATGTCCAGGATGGTTCAGGATATTTGTAGGATGTTTTAAGATATTATTATAAATATATTTTATGAAAATTTAATATGCATACATGATTACTTTCGGTTATGTAGGCTATTTAATATAATTTAGAAATTTTAAGTATTGTAATAATAAGTATTAATGTCCTATAAATGTCCATTGGATAAATCCTACATGTATGTCCTGGATGCCCTTTGGACGTCCTAAGGACATCCTTGTGCTGTCTGGGATGCTACCTAAATATATTCTCTTTTCCTCGGAGAACTTAATTTTTTGCTAATTCTTAGAGTTTTAATTTGTGCCACTTCTTTTTATTGATTCCTAATATTTTTTTGATTTTTAAAATATGTATAAAACGATTTCATTTTTTATTTTATAGACGTACCAAGAAGAGATCAGCTGTAAAATGTATATTTTTTTATATACAAAAGAAAAGTTCGAATTTATATAATTAAGTGAATTAATTAATTAATTTACATGGAAAACGAGATATCAAATCTCTGATTAGTTATATACAATTACATTTTTTATAATAAAAAATGTTCACGCATCCCGTATATTCGGTTAAATTATTCCTTATGTATTATGGATCGAACACACATGTGCGAGTATTTAGACACTCAATATTACGCGTGGCTATATAGCACACATGGATTAACGCAGAGGTAGAGTTACTGGCGTGAGCATATGATTCCTCGAGTGGATCCTCGAGTTACTCTACTAGACTTACTTGACCTATATGAAGCAAACATATATACAGGGTGCGGCATTTATAGTGACGCGGGCATATTTTTCGGAAACGAAGTGAGATATCAAAAAATGTTTCAGACAAAAGTTGCATGGTTTCGAGGGGGACACATGATAAAAATATGGATTTGACCATAAGTGGTCTTTTCAAGGTGAGGTCAACGTGGTCGATGTTTTCTTAAAAGGAACTCCCCATTTTTTATTACATATTCTTATAGCTTATCCCGAGAGCTTTCCAAATATTTCACTTTGTTTCCGATAAATATGCCCGCGTCACTATAAATGCCGCACCCTGTATATGTATACTGACATTTAATCAAAAGTCGGCTTGACGATGATCCTCGACTCATAAAGACGAGATTTTGTTACTCAATATGTCGCAATGGTATTAATTATTGACTTACATCAGCGCTACTGAATAATACGATCACCCTCTTAGCGCGTACTTTACCTGGACCACCTTGATCGAGTGTTTGGTTACAGGTCGACTGGCTGCCCCAAGACCTTTGCAATCGTATTAAAATATATACGAGGGCTGAGATAATTAAATTAAATTTGATTAAAAAATTTAACAAAAATATTTTAACGATCCACGGATAATAAAATTGAATTGAATATAATTGTGACAGTTTTCTTTCGCGAAATTAAATTTCTAATTTGAATCAGTCATCACAAACAGTTAAAAACATTTAGAATTTTATAATTGTAATTCTCTTCGTATATAGATAATAGTTTTAATTATTGCACCGAAATAAAACTGGAATCTGGAGAAATTAAATTTCTTGTAGAATTTATAGAATGCATTAAATGGTTTACTTTGTGTATGATAAATTTTTATTAGCACGCAATATACATGGTTTTTTAATTGTTTTCTTCTGCCTCTTTGTCATCTTTCGTTAGATAACGGTAAAATTAATTATGCCTTGAAAATGATATTGGTACTAAAGACAAATATAATGCAAAAATACGACCTGCCCGGATCGAAGTTCCACATGTTCGGTTTTAATTTTGCTGAGGAAATATTAACTCTCGAGAGAATTTTAAATTGAATAGAAGGCTCTCTATTTTTATCAGATATTTGTACTCTTCTGTTCGGATAACGTTTTTGGAATTTTCAGCGATATGTAATATCGCAATCAACGTTGGTATATATTATACTTTATCTATATTTCGCATAGAGTAATGCACATACTGATCCCAATAAAGGTGGGGGGTGAAAGATATAGAGATGCAAGGGCGGGGACCAACACGACTGGTATAAAATCTGTCTCTCCAAGTCGTGTAAAGCACACAGTCAGTCAACGAATACCGGGACACAAACTGGCGATGATCATCATGCCTTATAAAGTAATATTCTACATTTTATTATTACTTGTTAATTATTTCGCTGGAGCTAATTTGCGTTTGAGTTTTCCATAATGTTGATTCGGCAACACTTTTTTACGAGTTATAATAATAACTTGTCAAAGTTTTATTTTTTTATTTTTTTTAATAAAATAGTGAACTGATAAATAAATCAAATAAATTAATTTTTGCCGTTATACTAAAATAATATTCTATTAGATATAAGATGTAATTATATTTCATTGCAGCTTCAATGCAATTATTACAATGCATGTACAATGTCTGACTACCCGGATATCAGCGATATTAGTTGAAACCATATTTGACTTAATCACTTAGGATACCGACGATCTGATATTTCCTTCTTGATATACAGATTATCGGTTATTTCGTCGCCTTACTGGCCGTCACCCGCGCCGGGATCATTGGTCCAGGTGCAGCCGCAGTAGCTGTCGCGCAGCAGCCAGCTGCGACGGTTATCAGAGCCGAAAACTACAATTCGCATCCTCGATATAGCTTCGGTTATAGCGTGGCAGATGGTCTCACCGGTAACATCCTTGCAATACAATTTGTAGATATTATAGACCATTTAATTTTAATTGGCACAACTCGAACTAAATACATATAATTTGGATCGTTTATCTAAAGATACAACATAGTCGCTTCCAAGGAAAATTATTTATGTACAAATACTTTTCGTTAAAAAAAATTAGTAAATGTTAGTAATTGAAGATGTAATGACTATCGATAAAATTATAAATGTGCAATCAATAATAACGCTCGATTAAGGACCCAGTCTATTCTGGCAGTACTTGAAAAATTGAAATTTTTTTGTTGGAAATGAATTTTTTTGTTGAAAAATATTAGAAATTGATCTTTTTGTTCGAGTGTTTTACATATATTTTTATTGATGTTTAAACAGTACCTCAGTATTTTTAAATCTTGTATATTTAACTTTTTTGCCAAAACGAGCCTCCACGCGAAAAAAAATCGATTTTTTTTTATCTTCTAAAGTAAACTGTGTCCTTAATTCTTCCGGATCCTTATAAATGTTCGATGGGACGAAAATGAGAGGCGCTCAGATTTGCAAGACGGACTTCGTAATTAAAAGGAAGTTGAGTCTGAACGTTGTAACCAAATTCGCAGAGTGAATTCCTGTCGATACTATTTAATTCAGTTATTTGTTGTCGGTGAGGGATGGAGGGTTTCTATCGAATTATAGAATTTCCGGGACTCCGTTCGCGTAACTTAAATGAAACAATGAACGTGGAACTTTTATTCGGGCATTATAAACACGTACTTTTCCCAGGCGACAACAAGGCGCAGGAGGAAACTCGCAACGGCGACGTAGTTGAAGGAAGTTACAGCTTAATCGAGCCCGACGGTGCCAGGCGTCTCGTCTCCTACGCGGCCGATCCCATCAACGGTTTTAACGCGGTCGTACAGCGGGATCCCAGCATCACCGCATCCGCTGCAGCAGCGGTGCATCCCGTCGTTGCGCCGTCCGTGATCGCCGCAGCTGCACCAGTTGCCGTTGCAATTCGCCCGCAGGTCGGTATAATCCGGTTACTTTAAGAGCGCTCTTTCCCACGGTCCATTAATCTCCGCGAGAGTGAAGACGAGAAGGATAGAGATCTGTCGCGAGATTCCTCGCTCAATTTGAAGGTGACTTTTCCCTCTCGCGAAAATTGTCGAAGAAAATGTATGTGACGATATCGCGATACGGCGAAGGATCCTGCAGACTGAATCAAGGGATCTAAATAAGTTGCACGTTGTTTACAATTGTACAGGCGACCGTCTTGGTGAGGCAGCCGTTCAATTCGGGTGCCACAAACATCGCAGCCGTGAATCCGGGACTGCTGAGTTTAGGAGTGGGCCTGGGAGTTAGATCGGGATCTATTTACGGCACGCAAACTCACGTCGCGAATGTCGGTATCGTGAAAGTTCGCTAAATGCATGCATAATTGCATCAGAAAGCGGTGGTTTCGCTACTTGGCTTCCCTCCACGACGCATCTTGAAAATGTTCCTTGCCCGTTCATGCGCATCAGGATCTCCTTACGCACATCTCTCTTATTGTTAGCCGCATTTACGAAGTATAGATATTAAAATGTGCGTAAGAAGATATTACTATATATTTATTTCTATATCATTTTAAAACATGAAACATTATTTATATGTATCTCGAAATAAAAATTTTTGGTAAAGATGATAAGCAACCGTCTCTTTAATTTTTAATGGATGACGACCTTCAGAATTAAGATTAGAGCAATCGAATTTATTGCTAAATGCGACACTGAATGCGAATAAAGCTTTGACACGTAAAACGGCGATGAAGATCGCGGCTCGAATGATCGATGTGAATGACGGCTTGATTAGTCGAAATGGAGTTGACATCGACGGGGGAAGAGGATCGGCGAGGCTTAGGAGAAATCGCCGTTAATGGCGCGACCAAAGGATTTCCTGGCCGTTCCGCGTGCTTTTTGCGAACTCGCTCGAGCATTCGCGCCCGATCGAATCAGGATTTTCAGCTTTTCAACGGCAGACGTGCTGCTTAGTTGCCTTTTTCCGTCGCCATCCATCTTTCGCGTGTCGTCGGCCTCGCGCCTCCCCCGCGTCTAATCTCATCTCTAAGCTCGGTAATCTCCGTCCGCATTTCATCTAGTTAAACCATCATTTTTTTCGACCATAACACAGCTGGACCAGCCTAGCGTTCAAACGTTAGCCTAATCTTCCCTAGTCGTGAATGATGAATTATTCGGCGAAAATCCTCGTCGAATCCTGCTTCGCCAGATCGATGCTTTTTGCACACACATGTTTTTTCGCGCTTTTAAAAATCTAACGTGAAGAAATTTCAAAGAGCATTCCATGTGATAAAAAGTAATAATAAAAACTAGCAAGATTCTTAATTTTTCTTTCCTCTGGGATTACATCTAAATGTAAGTATGATAAAAATAATTTAATGTGCAATTTCTCGCGGGCGGTTGAACTTCTCAAGAGTATTCCAGGGAATGCAATACTATATAATACACTCTATTGAATGTGTGTGTGTGTGAGAGAGAGAGAGAGAGGGAGAATTTAGGTTTACATTCTATCAACATGAATCGCGTCAATGTAATTTCCAATATCGCGCAATGCTATCCGGCGAAGCTTAAACATGCGCATGGCAATTTAGGTGTATAGTGGCGCAATACCATACCGCGATACGAAGGATACATCAAGCACGAAGTCATACACAAGTAAATATGTACTGACTGATGTAGAGGCAAAACTAACAAGCAGTATCGATTAGTCCGGGCGTCTTTATATATATATTGCGAGACATCGTCTCTTCGGTTCAAAATTAATTCTCTTAGTGTGTCTGCTATTAATGGATGTTATAAACATAAAGTACGAAATTCTTTTTAATTCTCGTACATTACTATCTTTTTTAGTTCATTTATATACTTTATATACACTGTATTTGGTTTTTGAATGTGTATACACTGTTATTTTTTTAAATAATAGAATTATAAAAAAATGTGTTGAATAAAAGTTATTTTTCTAATTTTTAATTTTTTGTTTTGTTTAAGAAGATCTATATAATGATATAAACAAAAATTTTTAATTATTTTTTTTTTAAATATTGTCTATGACAGTTTTTATGAAAGATATTTTGTTTTTCCATTCTATAGCTAAAAGCAATAGAAGTAATAATATCTTATGAACAACTATTGAAAATCTCATTTTCATTGCACATTATCGAATTTGTCACAAAATACCTTACAAAATTATAGTGAAATAGATATATTATTTTATTTTAAAAAATAAAACCGTCATAGACAATTTATAAAACCTAATCTGCTTTTCAACTTTCCTTTTCCTCGCACGAAATTGCAATAAAGTTGCAATGTCCATATTTTAAATCACCATGTCAATAAAGAAGTATCTCATCGAACAATGATATTTGACTCACCGCTGATCGCAATTCATTGCGCGCGTGTTAAAAATGTAAACACTTATGTAACGATGCGTTCAAGTCACGCGATTATTATTCGATGTGTAATTAAGTTCTCGCTCCACGATAAACAATTTATAAAAAAAAAAAAAAAAATAATAATAATTTAAAATTAGTATTTTAGTTATTATATAGATTTTCTTAAACAAGATAACTTTTATATTTGAAACATTTTTTAAATAACTCTATTATTTAAAGAAATAACTGAGTGCATACACTTGAATCAAATACACTTTGTATAAATATATAAATAATAGTAATTGATGAAAAATATATAAATTTTTTTAAAAATGAATTTATTTGGAAAACAAAAATACTCTATTAATATACTGCAAAACTTAATATAACAACATTGAGGGACAAAAGACGAAATATTATATCGTAGATTGTACAACATGCAACAATTCTTAACGTTATCTGATTATCGTCATCGGCGGGATGCGAAACCTAAAACTTGCCAGGAATCAGGGAACAGGGAGTTGTGGTAAATCCGGCACTTTGTGAAACTTGGAACTTTGGAGAAACCTCAAACATCCGGAAATATATACTAACCAGCATAGTCTCCGGAAAGTTATAGCAGAGAACGTTCAAACGATCTAATGATTATGAACCGTTCCCTTACTATACATAATACGTTACAATTTTGTTTGCTCTATCAAATTATTGTGTAACATAAAATTATGTAATTGCTCTTTCCACAAAGAGGATTTAATCGGAATATCAAATTTTTGTATCAATTCTGAGCGTGATAATTTATAAGGTTAATATATAATGTGTAAAGCTCGTCGCAATTTCATATTTCTCACGCTAATTCGAAAGATTTTTGATACTCGGTCATCGAGTATTTCCGCTTTGTCGATCATGCAACGTATTTCTGGAAAGAAACTCTCTTCCGGCGAGAAAGTTTCGAGTTTCTCAAGTGTTTCGGTTTCCGCGAAATCTTGAAAACTTCTCTCTTGCGCGAACTTACCCATATTATTCGCTTACAACGAGAGTTTTAGCCTGGCTTTCCGCCGTAGCTGATGAAGCCGCTGTGATCACTTGATATGCGATTTCTCGCGAAGTGTGTACCGATTAGTGACAGAAAGAGAGGAAAGAGAAGATAGCGAGGGGGTCAACCGAGCGTGATAATCGTGAGGAGATTGCGAATCCAGAGCAAAGGCGACGCACTCGACGGTTGGCTCGGGTTTTAAAGGGTGGGAAGGATATACAATATTTCAGAGTGGCGACAAGGAGCAAGCCACTAGCAAATTAATTAAATTCCTACAAGCTGCCTGGAGAAAGGCTAAGGAGTGTGGAGGGGGAGGGGGCATAAGGGGGGACGAGAGGCGGCGGCGACGGCGAAGCGCGGCCGAGGGTCCTGTGTATTCCGCTCGTGGGAATATTGTAATTAAGATATGCACTTCTCTCTAGCCTCCATTTTCCTTCTCATGTGCAACCCCCTTCGGACCGGGGTGCCGCATCCATGATTTACGCTTCGCAGGACACGGTGTTGTCTGTTTCCACCGCATCTAAATTGCACCCTATTATAGAGACGCCGATGCCCTTGTTTCTTCTCTGGTGTGTCGAATCTTGAGAGTTATTACGCAATAATGGAATTCTCTCCCTTGATTCAGCATATGTTTCATCCAGAATAGCCGATTTCGTGACTTGCTCTATGCAAAGCAATTAGCGTGGTGAGGTAACATACAAGAATATAAAATCCAAATTGTAGCACAGAGCTTAAAATAATTAATATTTTAATTTAAAAAATTATTATTGTACGTGTCGAATTTTCTATTCGATGCATACAATAATAAGCAGATATAGTATAATGGAATAAAACGAAAAACATCAATAAAAATATATGTAAAACGCTAAAGAAATCAATTTCTAATATTCTTCAAAAAAAAAAAAATTCAGAATGGAAATATATATACATTTTATTAGGCGTGCCTTTACACATTAGCAATTTTATGAACAATCGATAGTTTCCATTACTTATTTCACGACGTGTCAAAGCTTGTCGCATATCGCGGTGCCAAGTGCAAAATTCAACATGCCTCGATTTTCCAATCACGATCCGTAACACATCGAGTTAAATTGATACTACAATGACGACTCTACGCACGAATCAGTTACGCGCTTCAAGATGGTTTGGTAATACAAGCTCGATCCCTTTCATCATTCCTTACAAGTAACGAGAGTCCTCACTACAACTATGGAAAGCATTTCCGCCATAATTTTCGGCTTGCTCCTGATGTTACCGCTGTTCGTACAACTGCAGATGCTTGTCGTACGTGATCAAGATTAATTGATCGTAAATTGCACCTACGAATTGTTTTCGTCTAAGGGTAGTAATGATTTATTGCGCCGCGAGGATATGTAGGTTAAATACCGCGATGGAGAAAACAAATCCCCGTGTGTGTAAAAGGACACAATGCATTAAAGGAGGAAAGTAATTGAAAAGAGTGTCGCGTTCATTAATCATTTCGACCGCGTCTCTCCCGTGATATCGAAGTTAAAACGCGAAAGCGTTGTCCCGCCTCTCGCATCGGAAAAATTTATAACGTTATCACGAACATATATATATATTTCTTTTTTCTTTTAAATTCCTCGTGACGTGCAATATCGTGCATCGGATCTGGAATTTACAGCTACATCCTAGGAAGTTGCTCGCGACCCTCCGATGTTACTTGACAGAGAGTACTCGCGACGTCCGGCTCGGCGAGCGTAATCTAGTGCAACACTATCCCAAGTTACCGGATCTGTTAAATTCCAATTCCGAGTCCAGTATGATGGTGTGGACCTCGCCGAGGACCGTACTCTCGTCACCTGCTGTGCCACGTGTCGGAGAGCATCGGCATCAGTTTGTTAGAAAAACGATACCGCTGGCGCGGCACTCGTCGTCCTATGTAGCGACGCAGATCGAGCTTCCGGTGGTGGATATAACATGCAATTACAATTCCTATCGCTACTCGACCTTGGAGGAGAACTTGAGGGAGCGATACGGCGCGAATTATCCTCCGGGCGAAGTGGTCTTGAATTATATCCAATTAAACACGCCGGATTCGCGGACGAGGCTCGGGAACGACGTCGGGAACGATCTGCTGGATCTTTTCGAGAGCAGCGACGCCGGCACATATTCAGCGGTGTCCACGAAACTTGAGACGGAATATCTGAATCTCCTGGATCATTTCGTATTGAAGCGACCGGGGAAAACACTGACCGCGGGCAAGTTTACCGAGACGCTTCCGTTCGCGGATGAAAGAAATGTTGAAGTGTCGTCTGTGTACGCTGGTACATGTAGTCAGTCTACCCTGAGAAGTTCGGTCGCTCATGAGAAGGAATCCAGATCGTCTAGCAATCAACGTTCTTTAAAAGGTAAGAAATACGCGCGATTTTTTGCGCGGACGAGTTTTCTTTCGCGATCAGACCAGCGTCTGATTTTTGCAAATTTTAATTCTTGACCGTTTATGAATCTATCATTCGCGTAAAGAATATATCTTAAGCTAGCGCCAGACTATGCGCGTATTCGCAATTCGTGATTCGTGAACGGTATAAAGAAATCTGATCGCTCGATGTTGACGAATCTTTCATTTATATTATTCACGAATTGAAAACGAATCGCTCTGCTTTTAAAACTTTAATGCCATTATCTAATCGATAGACTGAGCTTCATAACTTGATCAATTCTGGATTTTGCATGTAACCCAATTCAAGATAACGCAGGCCTGCAAGATTGAAAATCAAAAACTTTTTTGACAATGTATACTGCTTTTATAGGAATTTGAGATTCTAAATCCAAAAATAATCTCAGATTTGCTCCATTGCGTACAGTTATTTTACAACTTGCTTTAATGTTTCTATGTTATAATATGTGACTGATTGAAATTAGTAGTAAAAAATTTATTTCGTGGCCAGTTATGAATATATTTATCTACAAAAACTATAATACAAAACTTGATAACTTACATCTTAATTTTATTCGTCAAGAGACTTAAAAAACAATTTAAAAAAAGTTCAAAATCACTGAAAAAAATCGCACTGGATGATCAGCGTCCGCATGTAATTAAAGTTGAATGATAAATGAACTTACAACTAACTGATTGGCTTGGCAACCCAATACTTAGAGTTTCTCAGAAGTTTTGAGTAATTTCTGGAAATCTGGCATTTTCTCGATCTCGATTTCCAAAAAAAAAAAAATATAATTTGTGAAATAACTATTTGTATAATATGACATTTTTATTGTGCTTTTCGAGTTCGGTATTCAAGAATACATTAGAAACAGCTGAAAAATGTTTTTTTTTGCAGGCCTGTATAATAATCGAGCTCTCGTGTACAGCAATGGTCATCCCGAATATTGTCAACGCGCGTCGCACTATTCCTCTTACACCGCCTTACATTCTCGTCATTACAACGGCGCGTCGCGTCCTCGCCTGAATACTAATAGGCGGGCGTACAACGTTAAGGGGAGCGTGCATTTGGCTCGTCGTCATTCGAGGAATCGTCATCGTCCTTGCTCTGAATAGGGATCGGTAATGGATAGGAGAACCATCCTCCTCGCAGGATAGCTCTCTAGGAATCGCGTCTATTTATTGATCGCCTCGGTGCATTGGAATATTCAATCCGTTTCTCAGAGAGCTGCGATTCGCGAGTATACGGTGGCGCATCTCTTTCTGTCACCGATAACTCGGGTCATTTCTATCCCTTCTTTATCTCTTCGGCGCGAAGATCTCGCTAAAACGGCTTTATCTTATACAAAAGTAATAAGTGGCTTTCAATGTCGAATTATCTATTAATTCCTTGATAATTGAATTGGTCAAAATTATTAAATAGCGATCGGGTATACCTATCAGTCTGCTTTACTGATCCAACCTGGTATATAGGAAATGTATGTTTCTTTTAATATAACAGACACTGAGAATATCTACAAGAAGCTCTTTTTATATTCGAAAAGATCTGATAAATTAATCCGCATTTGAAAATTTTTAATACAATCATAATCATCTTTGCAATTCGCAGCATATAACGAACTAACACGTTTTATTGCTCCTCACGCGTCGTAGGTAAGAGAATAATGATTCCAACCTGTCTAGGTATTGAATACGGCCAAGGCGGCGGCGCAAATAGACGTTCCAACAGCTCACAGAGAGAGTTTAGACGACGGTGAGAAGCGTTCGATCGGCCAAATAGACGGTGATCCCATCTATAAGCGCCAACCAACTGGCTATCTGTCATGAAGTCGAGAGAAAATACACAGAGAGGAATGGTAAGTTTAGCAGCAAGGAGATAGAAGTATAGTGTTCTGGCTGTGTGCTATTAGCTCTCTAGGTTAAGCCGGAAATTCCAGACCGGAAGCCGACCGGGGCTGCAGGTACGAAAGAGCATGGTCAGCGAGAACCCAGCTAAAGGCGGAACGTGGTAAGGATGAGAGCTCGAAGAGGATGCTGGCGGTGTGGAAGACGATAAAGAAGAGAGAATTTAGAAATCTATTTTCGGATACGCACGCACGTGTTGGAGCAACTCGGAGTCGTTTGCTCGGCACTCATCGGATTCGATTAAAACGGCGGATAATTAACTAATTTCGCAAGAGACTTTGATTAAAGAAACTCTTGGAATAAGCTTCTTGTCTCATGGCATATACGAAGACAGACGCTCATCCTAATTTTTCGCGACGGTTAATGGACACTCTCAATTTGAGTTTTGATACGTTAATTTAGTCAGAATTCTCTGCTTTCGTAATCGCACTTTGGTTTACCCGACATTCAGGGAATTAATGAAATTTTGCGTTAACTTCATATGGAAAACTTGAACGGAAAGTTAATGGAGGATTAACTTCCGAGATAGTTAACTTGGAAAATTGCCTGAAGTTACAACGAGTTCCTTTTCAGCTTTCCCCCTCTCTTTCTCTCTCTCTCTCTCTTTCTTTTCACAAGATATATGTGTGTCAACGTAAAACAATGACGGTAACTTAAGATGGATCAGTCTCGCTTTAGACTTTAGATTCGAAGATGCCATATTTCGTATCTTGTCTAAAAGAGTGCATGAGAGACATTCCATTTCTCGTATTTGACAGCGCCTTATGAAAGTCCTGTGTATATATATATCACGAATCGCTTCTTCTATTTACATTCCTGCGGCTCTTCCGCGGGAAGGAAGGCATGCCCGTGTTTACGCGAATTTAGTGCAGGACGTACCGAAACAGAGCGCTGTATAAGTGTTGAATCTAAGTTCTCGGATTCAGGCGAGCGCGAACTCGAAACACGTGCATGACTCTCCTACTCTCGATCGCTGTGCAAAACTATTCGGAATCGGATTTGAAGTAATCAGAGATCCGAGAACAAAGACTAAATAGAGATCAAAACTACTCTGATATTCGATAGAAACTCTACTTATATATATATATATATATTCATTTAATAAATTATTCGTATTCATATATTTTCATATCGATTTATGAATTGTTAATAATATATAGCTTTTTTATCAACGAAAATAAAATCAAATAGAATGGGAATAAGAGCAACGCGAGTGCTCGAATTCGACGTAGAACGAGGTCTGATCGGATTTCTCGCAAAAAGAGGAAGACTCGGGAAAACATGCAGCAGCCGACAATAGGATTCCGCGACAAGTCGATTTGTAGAGTCAAGTTCGCCGACACGTTATTTGTTGCTGTTACATTGTTGACACTCTTTTCCTCTCTCTCTCTCTCCTTTTCCGGCGATGTCCACGACGAGCGATTCAGAAAGGATTTTCTTATGATGGAACGGTAATAATGTCATGGTAATTCGAAGCCCTAACCGTGCGTTCGTATTCAAGATGCATATTAGACTTACGGAGAGTACTTGGAATAAGATGTACTTTCGAGGTACACATATTCCGTGAACCACGTTATATGTATATTTATCTTGCATATAGCGTTGACAACTATTGAGATGACAATCTTCTCGCTGTAAAGTACAATAGAATGAAGAAAATAATCCATTAAACAAACTATTTCTCCGCGCTTTAAACTGTCAATAAAATGTGGTTTTATTCGGTGGACAGATGGCTCGTTCTCTGTCTGTCTCTCTCTCTCTCTCTCTCTCTCTCTCTCTATATATATATATATATATATATATATATATATATATACATCTACCTGAAAAGCCCACGTCGCGGCGAATTTCAGACAATAAGCGCGACACTT